TGTGTGTGTGTGTGTGTGTGTGTGTGTGTGTGTGTGTGTGTGTGTGTGCGTGCATATACTTGTATTTTTAACATATGTTTTACTTCGCATGTCAAATGCACATCCGGACGCTGCTATTACACAATAAAGAGGAAGAAAATTATTATCGAAATAAAGGGAGCGTCGGGTATAATTATATTTCGGAAGTTCAAAAGCGCCGAAGCGAAACGGTTGCGAGTCAAATTAAAGCCGCAGCGGCACCCACGCTAATGCCCGTAATTGCCTCAAACGCGAAGCATATTTCCGGATCAAGGATGTATGGAGGCGGACAGGTCGCTTATGCGTTTATATCTTGCACGAGAAACTGCTCGCGAGGGATGCGATCCTGATAGAACCGCCCTCCTGTCGCCAGGACACCTGTTTGCATTGCACGGGTCTCAATGGAATGGGATGATCTAGGTACACCTTTCCTATTAGGAAATCACGAATTATACAAATTGCGAAAAGTATATTAACTGTTGAATTGGCGGCTTTCTTAAGGATGAAAATATAATAAGAATATCCTGCAACCATTAAAAAATATTCTATCACAAATACACATAAGATTATATTATTTTTAATCAATATATTCTAATATCCTCTATAAATTAATTATATGAAAAAGTCTTCATTTACTATTTACTGATGTTTATTTGTTATTACTGCAAATATCTTCATTTAAAATGAAAACACTCATTGTTTGAAAAAAAAAAAATTAAAGAATTATTATATTTAAACTTGATAAAAATATAATACTTTTTGTTCTTTTTAAAATAAAATATGTATGAATGATAAAATAAACGTCGAGACGAATTACAAGTTAAAGTTAATAGCGGTATTTAAGACTAATATACATAATATTTTCTTAAAAAATCAAACGTAACATATATAGCATGCAAAAATAAAATATGTAAAATCACTAATAAATAAGAAACAACTATAATATATTCTTATTTAATTTTTCTTACAAGCGCTTCACTTTTTATGACAAAATATTTGTGAAATTTCTTTTTGTATCAAATTGATAGTGTAAAGATATACCTTTCATTACGAAATTTATGGAAGATTGTGAGTATTATGATTTCATGGTAATATCATGCATTAAACAAGATTATATAATGTACTGAAGTTTACGAAAAAAAGAGGGGAATCATATAAAAGGTCTATTATCTATTGATCAATGGAAAAAGGAAGGGATAAGATTCTTGTCGATTTCTTAACAATCATTCTTGAATCGAACTTAGTGAAGTGATGATCTGTATAGAAACACAGTATTTAAGTCTCAATAGAATTTTACTACTCGCTATTGGCTTGTGGCCATATCGACAATCAAAAATCATTCAATTTCAATTTGTTTTCTTTTCTGTTATTTTGATAACGAGTATTATATTTCAGGTAAGGAGGATAGCATGTAATAATATTATTGTATAAAAAAATTAATGCGCAATTTTTTACTAAGAAATAATTGAAATAATTTGTATCAATTTAGTTATAATTATCTAATTATAATTATTTATCAATATATATATTTATATTTATAATCATATTACAATTTAGAAATAATACATAATTACAGTTGACAACATTTATAACAACAAATTTGACTTCAGATGTCATCGTCACGATTTTGGCTTCTGCATCTATTTTCACTATTTTCATGATAAAATATTATACATTTCGCGTTAACATTGAACTTGTAAGTTAATAAATATCATCAAATATTATCTGTTAAATTTTTTATATCAAATAATATTTTCTAATACTGTTACATACAAAGAGTTTTACATACTGTTACATACAAGAGTACAGAAAGTTTATATATTATATAAACTATATTACTAAAATAACAGGTTAAAAAATCGTTTATGAAACTTCAGCATATATGTAACGAATTAAAAGACAAAAATGAAATCGCTATCATAGAAAAATATGGTTACATTGCGAAATGCTATACGGCTGCACTTACGAGTAAAATAATATTTTCACAGTTTTATGATTATGTTTTCTTATTTAATATGTAAGCTGTGTAGATTTTAATAAGAAATCGACTTTAACAAATTACAATAAATTTTTTGAACCTCTTGTATATCTTTGAATATATATAAGTATAACGTGGCATATCATTTGAATCTAATGGTAAATATTTACAAAAACATCTTCAAAAATTAATGACCTTGATATGTTATCAAAATCATGACTCTGAACACTCCAACAAGTTTAGTCGTCGCTCATTATACATTAAAAAGTTATAAACAAAAAAAGTTCTTTGTTTTTGTCATCGCACTGAAAACATCGATTTTTATGTAACAAAACAGCATTTGTGAAGTTTTACTGCATTGTTTATTGTTAAGAAAAGTGTAGCTGAAAGTTATCGTTTGCTTATGGAGGTATATGCTTCGAAAAAATGGTTTCAATACTTTAGAAATAATGATTTCGATAAAAGATAAAAAACGTAAAAATGCATCGAAAAATTGAAAACTGAATAACTGGAAGCATTATTTGATGAAAAGCTATGTCAAACGCTAAAAGAATTGTTAATGTTGATTAATCAACTGTTAGCAAATGTTTAAAAATAAAATTTCACAAAAAAATGGCGGAAACTTATTTAAATGTATAAATATATATAAAACAGAAATTTTTGGAGAGAAGCTTTCTATAAATATATTTTATGACTTTCCACGTGAAGCGACTTACACCTCATCTGAAAGGGAACATGAAAAGTCGTGCGTCCCGTAGCAGAGGGAGAGGTGGGGTGAAAATGACTTCGCGTAGAAGTCGTTCACTCTTGAAACAAGGGGAGAGGTGGGATAGAAGTCACTTCGCAAAAGTTGCGTGCTCTTAGAGGCAGAAGGGAAGATGGGGTGGAAATCACTTCGCATGATAAATCGTAAAATATATTTTAAAGTCAAAATTTTTTGTTTTATATAGTAAAAAAGATACATTATTTTTTAAACTCTGTATATAATTTTTTAATGAATAACGAGCGATGACTAAAACTTGTTGGAGCTCACTCAGGGACATGATCTTGACAACATACATTGATTTTGAAGGTGATGATTTTTTTCAGTAAATATTTACTGAAAATAATTGAAAAGTATTATACACATATATATATATATATATAT